ACCCTTTTAGGTTTTGTACCAGAGATGGGGACTCGAGTTTGTGACTCGGACTCGAGTCGCACTTAAGTCACAAAAACTCTGACTTCAGACTTGACTTGCGACTCGACCCAAAAGACTTGTCAGCAACCTGTTTTCATGCAATTATTGCTTTTTAAATCTAAATTCATTTTAATGTATTTCTATTTTCTTTTACTAGCGCATACGTTGGGGAAGCGTATGATAAGCTGCATGTCCCCTGCCCTTTGTCATACTGTGCATGAGACAGAGTGTATTTAGGCCACGCCCACAGCGGGGGAAAACAATCCAACCGTCTCCATTGACTTTGCGTCTGTAGATATCTCATAAATTCAACAAAAGTTGGCATTGTAAATCATCTCGCTGCTCCGCGATCTGCACCGTCATCACAGACATTGCTAGAAAGCGCTCTCTCTTTCCCTCTCTCCAGTTCAATGTTGCCAAATATGGTCATTTCCTTTTAATCAGCAACCAATCGCGAAAGTAAAAGGGGGGATTTAACTCTAAATGAGCAATCTCATTGGCCTGATGGAAATCTTTAGATCCCGTTTTGCGTTTTCTCAAAATGACTTTTCTCTCAAACTCCAAGTCTGAAATCTCCACTTCAGTAGCACCTATATGCCAAACCTAATACAACCAAACATTCTGGAACTAAGTCACTCTTTGTTTACTGAACTGTTTACTAAATATATGTTAGAAATAGAATTTTGGGTGCATATTAATTCTGCTGATATTTTACCCCCCAACCCCCTGATAACATCTGACCCTACTTCAAGAGAAACATAAAACACAACAAAACATCATTAACAGTTTCTTATGTAGTTTTTCGTCATTGGAAAGAGCGACATATTTGGCTTTAAAGCATTATTTGGAAGAAACTGTTGCAAATGTCTGTGTGAATTTATGCATGTTATACCAAACATATGCCATCACTAATTATTATCATTTTAATCTATGGACAGCCTCAAGCTTCATTTGAAAATCATTTTATGGCATGCTTTTTTGACCACTGTTCTCTCTATAGCGAACAGTCTCGTCTATAACGAACAGATTAAACAAGCTATACCTTACTGTTAGACGTGGTGTATGAGGTTCGAGGTTGTGATGTTTGTGTCCGATATCCCTTGCCAGTTATTATGCGTGCAACAAATCTTGTAGGAATAGGATTAGTTTCTATAGTGTTTATATCCAAAAAGAAACAATGCTGGATGATGTTTTTGTATTTAGCGCGCTCACCGTGATGTATGTTTTTCCTGTGCTTGTGCGTCACATAATCGCGCAGAATCTGATGACTGTCAATGGTTCCGTTGCTTTCCTTTTGTTCATCAATTGATGTTGTGATGATTTATATAAAAAAATAAATAGTCATACTGTTCAAGTCAACTCATTTTCTTAATTTAGTCAAGCAAGTCTCAAGTCCTTAAATTTGCGACTTGAGTCAAGACGTGACTCGAGTCCCCCATCTCTGTTAACCAGATCATTATTAACACGATGATATAATCTTGGATGTACCATTTGATCTCGAATGTATTTAGCATGTTACGTCCCAGATGTAAAGTTGTCTAGGTATAGGGAGTGGACAGTGAAAATAAAATAAAATAAACGTGCCTGTTCCCAGCCTTGTACTGTACGACAGACATCAAATTGCAGTTCAAAAATGTATTAACAGGATAGATGTATAACTAACAAAATTAAACAAAGTAAAAACTAAACAAAGCTCAGGAGGGAGTAAAGCCAAAATAACAAACATAAGTACCCTCTGACTAGTTGGGGAGTGTAACTTCTTAGTCTGCCAAAAGTAAACAAATAAACAACAGAAAGTTACACCATCTCCCTAACTTTTTGTGATCCAATTTTTATTGAATCAGAGAATGTTTTGGTACAGAAACAAAAGTAGACAAAAGCAACATTCTGAACACATTCTCATTTCTTTTTTCCCTCCCATATTCCCAAGGCGACCAAGACCCCCCACCCCTATCTCCCAATAGTGCATTCAGAGCAAATATAGTTTAAAAGCAGTGCAGATCAAACTCCAAATACAATAGATAAAAATAAAAATATGAGACAGATCTTAAAGATGTTCCTTAATTTTTTAAATGACACCTGACCATGATGAAATAGTCTTATGAGAAGCTCCATGTATTCTTGCCACTGAGAGCTCCATGTTCGCAATGTCCAAGAAAGAGTGCATCGGGGTTTCCAGCATGAGGCAAGCATTTTCTTAGCAGCAGTAATTGCACAAAATAGTGACTTTTTCTGAGATAAAGAGAGAATAAGAGGAGTCATCATTTAAAAGCAGGAGTCTCGGACAGCATGATATCTCCATCTCCAAAATGTCTTTCAACGTGCTGGAAACCTGTCTCCAAAACTCACTGACTTCTGGGCAATCCCAAAACATGGCAATATATGTCCCAATACATCCACTAGAGCACAAGTCACATTTAGGAGAGGTGGAAAGCTTCATTAAATGACGCTTCCTGTGACTGAGATACATCCTGTGAATCATCTTGAAATGAATCAATTGATGATTAGGGTTTTTGAAAACATGTTTGAGGTTAGCCCATATTGAGTCCCAACATATTTCAATACTGTTCTCTTAATCAGTCCCATAGATATCTCTGTGCCAAATGTCCACCACCGGTAATCTTTTATAAGAAGCTTCCAACAACAAAAGGTACATTGACGAAATCATCCCCCTTGTGTTACACTAACTCCCTAACTAGCCAAAAACAGGAAAAAAGGTAGTACAAAAATGAAAATAGGCACCCACCTCCCTACAGCTCCCAGACCGTTTGGTATTCAAAAAAAAAAAAAGATAGTCACAACAATAAACACAAAAAGAAAATGGCAGTAGGCTACAATAAGCCTTAGCTGGGTGAACAATAACAACAATCTTAATACTCCACAACAGCAAGTAAATCAACAAGTGAGGGACGATCTCAATCACAACACTCTGGAAGGCAGGCTTCAGTCTGAATATCCTCCGAAGCCTCTTTTGAGTGAGTAGCATCTCCAATACAACGAGCAGCGGGTGCGATCAATCATCTCTCTCACTTCCCCACCTAGTAGAGCCGCATAGTTACAGAGAGAGAGAGAAAAGAAAAAAACAAACACAAAACCCCAGCACTGCCATAACAAAAACGGAATGTAACAAGCGACGTACCTCTTGGTTTACGTCAGTTACTTTCATGAACGACTGCATAAGTGTGTGACATTGCTAAAGCTCATCTCTTGTGTACCCATTCCAAAATGAAGACACGGTTTGATAAGAAGACTACCAAGCACAGTTTCGAGCCAGGTGATCAAGTGCTTGTCTTACTTCATGTCCCTTCCTCTGCAATACATGCTAGGTTTGCTGGTTCCTACAGTGTTGAGAAAGTTGAGTGAGACTGACTATGTAATTTCTACTCCAGATCGTAGGAAAAAGAGTAGAGTTTGCCACATTAACATGTTAAAGTCTTACGTAGGAAAGTGTGGAGCATTAATTACATCTAATAGGGAAGATCTTTGCATCCTTTTTTGAATACCAAACGGTCTGGGAGCTGTTGGAAGGTGGGTGCCTATTTTCATTTATGTACCGCCTTTTCTCCTGTTTTTGGCTAGTTAGGGAGTTAGTGTAACTTTCTGTTGTTAATTTGTTTACTTTTGGCAGGGTAAGAAGTTTTACTCCCCAACTAGACAGAGGGTACTTGAGGTAAACAAACCCCCTCCTGAGGTTTGTTTACTTTGTTAAATTTTGTCAGTTATACATCTTTGCATAATACATTTTTGAACTGCAATTTGATGCGTCTGTCGTACAGGGCTGGGAACGGGAACAGGCACGTTTATTTTATTTATTTTCACTGTCTACCTAGACAACTTTACATCCGGGACGTAACAGTGAAAATTGGGGGCTCGTCCGGGACGCGTAGTCATGTAATGATGGCTACAGAAAATTCAGCTTTGAAATCACAGGACTAAATTACATTTTAATTCAATTAAAACAGAAAATAGTCGGCTATTCACAATATCAGTGTATCATATATACAAAAAAAAATCAGCTTTGGTGAGTTTAAGAGACCTTTAAAAAAAGAAAAAAGAATACACACACCCCTTGTATAAACACAGCAAAACAGATTATAGTGCATTTATGACAATGTTCATATTATGTTAGGCTACTAATAAAACTTAACTTGAAATTTTCGTGTTACATTCCGTTCCACACATCCTGCGATCCGCAGTGTCCGTTAAAAGTTGAAAACTCACAGGATAAGTAACAGAAGTGAATATTGTGATAATATTTTAAAACCCGACGGAGCACAAACAAAACTTAGTACAGCACAAACGTCTATTTTGTGTGAATTTGGAGCATGTGGGGGGGGCTGGTGACGTCATTATCTATAATTCAATGTCTGATATTTTAAAACCCGACGCAGCACAAACGAAAATTTTACCATCACAAACGGAGCACAAATGAACAAGACTATTTAGGGTGAATTTGGATCATGTGGGGGGCTGAGTGACCTCAGAATGACCTAAAAATATTCTTTTAATATCTCAAAAACAGAAGCAGCACAGACAAAACTTTTTACAGCACAAACGATTGAGTATATTTTGTTGACGTTTTGTTTTAGGGCGGGGGGCCGACTTCTCGCAGTTGTCTTCATCTTGTTTTGCACAATTGAATTAGCTGTAATTTCGTAAATTGCTTTTGTTCTTATCTTGCTGTGGTTGAAGTGCCTGACAAGCTGCCCTGCTGTAATGATAACCCGAAGCACAAACACATTAAAACTGTCTTTAACCACCAGCTGAAGTGTATGCACAAAACAGGCTACTGAGTCCCAATTCACCCATCCGGGAGAGTTTACTGCCACAATGTTTGTGAATTATCGTAAACACATGCAAATAGTTTCCCAGTTAGTCATCAATTAGTTAAGCTATGAGGTTGTCTGCTCTGTGTTGCCATTAATCTGTTGTTAACTTGTATTTGTTGTTTTTCGCTTTAGACCTGATGCCACTGAAAGAGGAAAGTCAAGACCTGAAAATACTGGAAGATGAACATCATGATTTCAAGACTGAAGAGAAATCAACAGAGATGGAAAAAACTCAGAAGACCAAAACCAGAAGGCCAATTTCGCATAGAAATTTAATTAGAGCCCACATAAGAAATCACACTGGAGAAAAGCCTTTCACTTGCCAACAGTGTGGAAAAAGTTTCGGTCAAAACCAAAACCTTAAAGCCCACATGAGAGTTCACACTGGAGAAAAGCCTTATACTTGCTCTCATTGTGAAAGGAGTTTTTCAGAAAAAAAATTACTTAGAGGCCACATGGTAGTTCATACTGGAGAAAAGCCTTTCAACTGCCAACAGTGTGGAAAAAGTTTCACTCAAAAACAAAACCTTAAAGCCCACATGAGAATTCACACTGGAGAAAAGCCTTATACTTGCTCTCATTGTGAAAAGAGTTTTAGACAGAAAAATTCACTTAGAGGCCACATGGTAGTTCACACTGGAGAAAAACCTTTCACCTGCCAACAGTGTGGAAAAAGTTTCACTCAAAAACAAAACCTTAATGTCCACATGAGAGTTCACACTGGAGAAAAGCCTTATACTTGCTCTCATTGTGAAAAGAGTTTTTCAAAGAAAATATCACTTAGAGCCCACATGGTAGTTCACACTGGAGAAAAGCCTTTCAACTGTCAACAGTGTGGAAAGAGTTTCACTCAGAAACCAAACCTTAAAGCCCACATGGTAGTTCACACTGGAGAAAAGCCTTTCACATGCCAACAGTGTGGAAAGAGTTTCACTCAGAAACCAAACCTTAAAGCCCACATGAGAGTTCACACTGGAGAAAAGCCTTATACTTGCTCTCATTGTGAAAAGAGTTTTTCAAAGAAAATATCACTTAGAGGCCACATGGTAGTTCACAGGAAAGCTTTACAACATTTGTAAATCTTAGGTTTCACATTATCAAGTTTGGGGGACGTGCACCTAGCGGATAGTGAAGAGATGTTTGCTGTATGTGACAAAAAATGTTTTGGCCTAAAAAACGTGACATCGCTTAGGGTTACTTTACATGTGAAACTCTTTCCACACTGATCACATGTGAACGTTCACTGTAAAAAACGCGGTCTATGCAGACAGCCCAGGCTCCACAAATAACAACAAAGAAAAACTGCTGCGACTGGTCCACGAAACATAACAAACTGTTCCAGCCAATAACTGACAAGAAGGCCCTGGGGGTGGGGTTTGGGGGGTCAGTGCGCGGATGAGGAGGAGGGAGGGTCTATCTAGCCTCACTTTTGTCTGAAAATACTTTAAACGTCAACAAGAATCAACAAGAACAAGAAAAAAAGATAGTGTTCATGACCAATTTGAGACTTTCAGTGTATTCTTTATCTGGATGTTCATGTCCTTCATGTTTCCTCGTCTTTGTTCTTACTCTCTGCAAGGTCACAACTCTGCTTCTTCAATTTAAATATCTTCTTCAGTTTCTGTTGTATTCCACCAGGACTTGATGAGTTGTGTGCACTACAGTTGTAGCCAATGTATTGGCAGTGACTAATGTTTCACACATTTTATTTTTAGATTAAAATTGCAGATTATATTTTTCACATGTTTCTATGGTATACTGGAAAACAATGGTTAGCATTTCATAACTTTTAAAGGCTTTGATTAGCAAAACATTCAATATATGAAAAGAGTCCATGTTTACAGTGTTGACCCTTCTTCAAAACCTCTGCAATTCATTCTGGCATGCTGGATATCAGCTTCTGGCTACAGATCCAAAATGTCAATGTATTTAATGCCAAGTCACTTCATTATGGTGTGATGTGACTTTACATGAAGGCCAAACCAACATGACCTCCCTAATGACACATTGGGGAACTTATATACACAAAGGACTAGTCCATTAAACACACACAGGGGACAACACAATCATCACTTAACAATTACAATGACATTAAGTAATTAACTCAAATTATCAATAAAGAGGTCATAAAATAAACTTAAATAACACTAAAATAAACAACAAATAACACCCCCCCCCCCCCCCCCCCCAATTGGCAACATGGATTAATCCAACAGCATAAAATGGCAGCCACTGACACCATCCAATCCTTTAATGGAATGGACCTCCACCTGAGCTCTCCCTGCTGTCCCCAAACCTCTACTTTCCACATGCAGGTAACTTAAACTCAAAGAAATAAACATTAACACAATAATACCATTGACTACTAGAAAGTGTGCACCCAAGCTAGCCATGAATGATACATGTGTTAGTCAACACACGAGAGTAGTGAATACACACACCCGGAGCACTCAGCCTTTGCTGTCTCTTGCCTTGTGACATGGTGGTCCATCATTCTGGAAAATGCACAGATCATCACCCAATTTGTTCTGGGCAGAATTGTGAGAAAACCCACTCCCTTGAATGAAAAGCAACTACACACATAGATGTAAAGACAAGTCACCTATATTTATATAGCGCTTTTAACAATTATCAGTAAAGCTGCTTTGAAAAAACATGTAAAGTAATTTGGATTTACAGCAGCTCTAGAATAAAGTTATTGTCCAGCTAAAGTTAGTTTTGATTGTTTCGCCTCCGTTGCAAAGATCTTTAGTTATTGACTTAACTTCAACTTAACTTCATTGACCATCAAAATCTATTCCAGTATACCCCTATATGAGATGGAAGAGATTGAGCTGGTTTACGGTGCAACTGGACCTCCAGCCCAGGGACGTACTCTGCTGGGGTGGTGCTACACGAGTAATGCCCAGCGGGGCCCCCACAGAGCACGTTTCTGCTGCCATTACCCTTAATGACGCTCTCAGCGACTACTTATACTCTCAGCAGTATAAGTAATTTACTTCTTCACTCGCCTCATCGGAGTGAAAACTCTCCCGCTCTCCATCAAAATCTCTTCCAGTCAGAGCAGTATTAAAGCAGTTAAAGCAGCACAGTGCTCATTCAGTAAATGCACAGCTAAACAGATGTGTTTTGAGTCTGGATTTGAATGTGACTACTGTAGGAGCACACCTGATCTCTTCTGGAAGCTGGTTCCAGCTGCGACTGGCATAATGGCTAAAAGCAGACTCTCCATGCTTAGAGTGAACCCTCGGTATTTCTAGCTGATGTGATCCTAATGATCTGAGCGATCTGTTGGGTTTATATTCAGTTAGCATATCTGCAATATATTGAGGTCCTAACCCATTGAATGATTTATATACTAGTAATAATACTTTAAAATCAATCCTAAATTTAACTGGCAGCCAGTGTAAAGACCTGAGGACTGGTGTGATGTGTTCATATGTTCTGGCAGCAGCGTTCTGTATGAGCTGCAACTGTCTTATGGTCTTTTAAGGGAGGCCAGTGAGGAGGCCATTACAGTAATCCACCCTGCTGGTGATGAAAGCATGCACAAGTTTCTCTAAGTCTTGACTGGAAACAAAGCATCTAATTCTTGAAATATTTTTCAGATGATAGTATGCTGATTTAGTTATTGCTTTGACATGACTATTGAAACTAAGGTCTGAGACACTCTAGAGACACACCAAGATTCCTGACTTGATTTTTAGTTGTTAGACCCCTAGCGTCAAGGTATGCATTCACCTTGAGAACTTCATCTTTGTTTCCAAACACAATGACTTCAGTTTTGTCCTTGTTTAACTGAAGAAAGTTTTGCCACATCCAACTATTTACTTCATCAATGCATTGGCACAGGGAGTCAATGGGGCTGTAGTCGTTTGGCGATAGGGCTAAGTAGAGCTGTGTGTCGTCTGCCTAGCTGTGGTAAGCGATTTGGTTCTTTTTCATTATTTGGCTCATTGGGAGCAAATACAGGTTGAATAGGAGTGGCGGAAGAATCGAGCCCTGAGGGACTCCGCAAGTCATGGATGTCCACTCAGACTTATGGTCCACTATACTCACATAATAACCTCTCCCTTGTATGACCTGAACCATTTTAGGACTATTTCAGAAAGCCCCACCCAGTTTTCCAGCCTGTCAAGAAGTATGTCATGATCAACAGTGTCAAATGCAGCACTGAGGTCAAGTAGTACCAACACGGATAATTTGCCTGTATCAGTATTTAAGCGAATATCGTGTATTATCTTTATGAGCGCTGTCTCTGTGCTGTGATGCGATCGGAAACCAGATTGAAAATTGTCAAAGTATCCATTCAAGATAAGAATTTGTTCAGCTGATTGAAGACAGCCTTTTCAATGATCTTGCCTATGAAAGGAAGATTTGAGATCGGTCTATAGTTGCTCAAGATGGTCTTATCCAGATTGCTCTTTTTCAGGAGGGGCTTGACAACTGCAGTTTTCAGGGAGTTCGGAAAACTCCCAGAGCGAAGTGAGGCATTTACCACTTCTAGGAGATCTGCTTCTAAACAGTTTAACACACTTTTGAAAAAAGATGTGGGAAGTGTGTCAATAGAGATTAACAATAGCACAATAAATTCATCGTAACATCACAAACAAATGTCACAACTACCTATTAAACATACAGCTGCCATAATTGCAACTCTTGCGGCATCAGAACAGGGTGTTCAACGCACCACCGTTTCGATTTAAAAACGTTTTGCAACTTTTTCCCGGGGCTGAACCTAGCCTCTGTCTAAATAAAAGACAAAATTAAGTATAATAAACTTTATCATAAACTAACATTTTATTATTATACAATAAACAAGGTTTATCAATCAAATTAAGGCAAAAGACCACGTGTATGAATTGTACTTACTGTTCTTAAAGTATTTTTTTTTTTCTTTTGCTGACTTTATAAAGTCATTGTAATGCTTAACAGAATGGACATTTGCTGTCACACACAAAGAGAGTATGTTGTAAAAAGAATATGTTTATTATATAACACTAGAAAAGACAAACACGGGGAACCGCAACGATCAGCGGGGTACAGTATTTTTGTCAATACTTTTTTTAGTATTAGCATTACCCTTAACATTTTTATTGCATTTTTTGTTATTTAATTTACTGATTCTTGTGGAAGATGGATTTCAATGCTGACACATGAACTGTGCTTTAAGAACGAATGAATCCTTTTTAACAAGTTATTAATAATTCTTAATCTTGTTCATCACATAACTGTACAACATGTACTCAAATATATATTTCACCATGAATTCCCACGACATGTATTAAATTAAATATATCTATGGACCCTGGATATTGGACAGCAGATTGAACGGGACTTTTATTTTGTCATGGCCATATGACATCATAAACCTGCGCCGTGCTCCTGAAGCTGTTGTGATTTCACTGAAGAAAGATTGGTGGTTTTATGCACTTTAACGTGTTTAAATCGATACCATCGATTTGATCGTTTTTACAAGAGGTATGGGACCATGTTTTAGTGAACATTTCTTTGTAATATGTTTAATGTAACAATATTGCGTTTAATTTGTGAGTAGCTTATTTACATATGTGAGTAATACAAAAGTTGCGTCTCATTTCGCGCTTAATCTTGTAACTTTAGTAGTTTTATCGAAAACACGAATTCGTTTTTTTTTATGGAAGCTTGTTTCCACCACAGAATGAAAAATGAAAAAAAGGTAATTGCGACTTTTTTCTCACAATTGCGAGTTTACATCTAATTCTGACTTTATTTCCCAGAATTGAGAGATATGAAGTCAGACTTGTGTGATATAAAGTAAGAATTTGTTGTAAACAAATACAGCGAAAACACAAATATAATTAATAATGACAACTTTTATGAAGAAATAACAAATATTTTCATGACGACGTGATCATGTAACATCTACAAATTAATCTATATGACGTGTTTGTATAATTTGTATTTTAGCCTATTTTGAGTGATTTTTTTTTTTTGTCTGGTCAGTTGATTTAAGTCCATTATCTCTCTCTCTCTCTGACTGACTCCCTCACCAGTGCGCTGAACTACTGAACTAGAGCTGATTGAGACACAAAGATTTACTGTGGATTCATTTCTCTTTCTGTTAATTATTCTCATCTTAAACGTGACAAATTGTCCAAACACACAGGAAAACTCCTGGAGAAACATCTGGGATCCACGTGACACTATTATAAAGATGGCGTTGATTAAACAGGAGAGTGAAGACATAAAGATTGAAGAAGTGTTCAGCGTGAAACAAGAAGATACTGAGGAACAAACAGGTTAGTTTCATTCTGTCCTTATTAAAATGATCTACAGAAATTACTGATATTTTTGAAGGATATCATATGAGTGTCCAAATTAAAGCGGTTTTATTGGACATAGAGCGAGTCTTCTCATGTGGACAGACATGTTTGTTGAGATCACGACCAGACAATTAGAAATAAAGTGTTTCTTGTGAGGTTTAGAGGACCTGTACACTTGCATTATATTGACTATATGGATTATTTATATGGATTAGAAATCTGTGTTATTCCGAAGAAAGGAAATCATATACATCTGAGATGGTTTAAGTGAGTAAATGATGAGAGAACATTCATTTTGGATGAATATCCCTTTAACTATCACCACAGCCCCATCAAGTATCTTTCACTAAACCAAAGATTGAAACCAAAAACATTATGAAAGGTGAGTCTTATTACAACACACTTTAAAACAATCAAGTTTGTTGGTGAAAAAATATTGATATTGCCAAATCATGAGAGTAGATACAATTACTACATCCATATTATTTTAAGTTCTAAACAAGGCAGTTATTTCATTTGACATGATATCACTGCAGTTAGCAAATGACAACAAATGTTTCTAAAAAAAAATCTTGTTCCTTTTCGAGAATGGTCACTTTGTTTTGCGTTGCTAATACGCAGTGGTGAAACTCCTTTCTTTGAGAAATATTGAAGCCTATATTTTATAATGCAGTGCAGCTGCACGACGAACACAGCAGAAGGTCTTGCTTGCCCAATGGCTGTGCTGTGGCAACTGCTCATCCTATGGCGAAGTGCCTCTGTTGCGTGAAACAATCAGGTGACTTGGCGTCAGAGTGCGCCTAAATGGGTGTGGCTCATGTCCATAAGAAGCCCTTATTTTCTCGTCAAGCTTCGGCGGAAGAAGTGGCTCCAGTTGGTCTACAGCTAGTTGCTGATTGTGCGGCGTGTTGCATTTCGTCCCCACTGCGTATAAGTTACGAAATACAAAGTGACCGTTCTCGAAAGGGAACGTACTCTGTTACTAACGTAACCTCGGTTCCCTCTGCTCTATTGCAATCTGTCCGTTTGTCACTTCAGTCGATTTAAACCGCTCGTATGCAAAAATAGGGGCTTCTTAAGCCACGCCCATTTTGGCGCACTATGGCACCAAGTCAACTGAGTGTTTCGCGCATCAGGGGCTGTGCAGTTGCTGCAGCACAGCCAATGGGCATGCTAGACACTCTGCTGTGTTCGCCTTGTGTTATTTTATGGTTGGGCTTCTCCTGATTTAGTCAGTCAGCGCTTATATTCTGTGTATTACCCTATCCTGTCCTATTCATGGAAGCCTACTCGTGGACATTGCGTCATCACGTGCTGTAGTAGGGGGGCCCGCCTTGATAATCCTGCATAAGAGCCCTGTGTTGGCTTGTCATGCCACTTGTTTAGGCTTTAATATTTCTCAAGGAAAGGAGTTCCCCTTGCGTATTAGCTACGCAATATTCGTTTCCTATTCTCAGGGAGCCGAGGTTTTCGTTAGTTTCCTCCTGAATTTCCCACAGAGCGAGCATAGGCTTATACAGATATATTTAGAGGTTCTGTTGATATCATTTATCAGCTGATAAATGTTCATTTATAATATTATCGTCATCAATCCGGTAAGAACATTTGGCCGATATTTAAAATCTGATAAATAATGAATTATTTCTTTCAGATGAGACGCTTCAGATTAGGGCTGAACTATATCATTACTTGCAAAGTTTAATCATCAGAGAGTGAAAGTTTATCATTTGCACATTTTTAAAAGATAAATTGTTACGCTAATTAATTATAATAGTTATATGTAATTTATACAATGAAGAAGAGTGTTATTTTACATTTGATTGTTCAGTTTCTGTACCTGAATACTGTTAGATTTACCTGAAAAACATAACATACAAATGAAACATTTTAATTGTATATTTCTTTAATTGTATTTATCTATACTTTTAATTTGTTTATTATTGCCTATGCAGATTCACTCCCCTACAAAATCACACCAATTATTTAAAAATAATTCATTCTTTTCAAATGGAACTATTCAAATCATCTGGTGAAATAGTTTTTATATCGCAATATATATAGCAGAAAAAACAAATATCGCAATGTAACTTTTTTCTAATGTAGTGCAACCTTGATGGTTTTAAATTGCTTTAAATATGATTGGAATCACTTTGAAAAGAAAAGTACAGTAAAGTGCAACATGTGCAGCACAAATCTGTCATATAGGCTTCATAACATCATAATGAGAACAGGACTGTAAAAGGATGTTGTGAATTCTTCCCTCAAAAGTGAAGCCAAAACGTCTCAATAGCCCCCCTGTGACCGGTCCTAGTATACGTCATAAACCCCGCCTCCCCATGTTTTTCAACGGGACGTGAGACCAAATAAATAATTAAATTACACTTCACGTATCCTTTATTGTAGTTTCTATGACGTTGATGTAATTTCAAGAGTTTGTTTTTAAAATAAGTTTGTTTTTAGTTAGTTATGTGATGCTAGAAAAACGGTGCAGTGACATCATGATTGACAGCTGTGATTGACAGGTTCTCTATGCGAAGTATTCACTGAACCACCAGCGAACTTTTTTTCATAATGTTGACTATGTGGTTAGTAGTTGTATTTACCTTATTTCAACGAGGTTCTGCAATCTGCAGACATCATTGGAGTATAACGGAGCAGACAGAGGCCACTTAATAAAAGTGCGGGGCTTGTGCTTGTGTTTGATTCAGCTAGAATGAGGGCGCGGCTTTACTTCCTGCCCACGACTGCGCATGTCTGGTCCCGAAAACGCAAGTGCGCAGACTCAAGTTCCAAGATGTCAGCGCCATATGGGGACACTGGCGGCTTCAGTTCTCTCTGATGGAAAAGAGCGAAGGGGCGTCATCAATCTATTTTTACAGTCTATGGCAGAATGTCCTCTCTCCTGCCCTTCAGAGGCTTGTGAGAGTGCTGTAAGACGATGTGTTTTCACTTACAATCAGTCCAAGAGAGCAGGAAATGATTGAAGATGATGTACAACCTGAACCTTTTTTTTTTTTGAGCTTGTTCCCGTTCCCAGCCCTGTACGACAGACGCATCAAATTGCAGTTCAAAAATGTATTAACAGGATAGACTGACAAAATTAACCAAAGTAAAAACTAAACAAAGTTCAGGTTGGGGTAAAGCCAAAATAACAAACACAAGTACCCTCTGACTTGTTGGGGAGTAAAACTTCTTAGTCTGCCAAAAGTAAACAAAATAAACAAAAGAAAGTTACTCTAACTCCCTAACTAGCCAAAAACAGGAGAAAAGGTAGTACAAGGATAAAAATAGACACCCACCTCCCTACAGCTCCCAGACTGTTTGGTATTCAAAAAAAAGATAGTCACAACAATAAACACAAAAAGAAAATGGTAGTAGGCTACAATAAGCCTTAGCTGGGTGAACAATAACAACAATCTTAATACTCCACAACAGCAAGTAAATCAACAAATGAGGGACGATCTCAATCACAACACTCTGGAAGGCAGGCTTCAGTCTGAATATCCTCCGAAGCCTCTTTTGTGTGAGTAGCATCTCCAATACAACGAGCAGCGGGTGCGATCAATCATCTCTCTCACTTCCCCACCTGGTAGAGCTGCATAGTTACAGAGAGAGAGAGAAAAGAGAAAACAAACACAAAACCCCAGCACTGCCATAACAACCACGGAATGTAACAAGCGACGTACCTCTTGGTTTTCATCAGTTACTTTCATGAACGACTGCATAAGTGTGTGACATTGCTAAAGCTCATCTCTTGTGTACCCATTCCAAAATGAAGACACGGTTTGATAAGAAGACTACCAAGCGCAGTTTCGAGCCAGGTGATCAAGTGCTTGTCTTACTTCATGTCCCTTCCTCGGCAACACATGCTAGGTTTGCTGGTCCCTACAGTGTTGAGAAAGTTGAGTGAGACTGACTATGTAATTTCTACTCCAGATCGTAGGAAAAAGAGTAGAGTTTGCCACATTAACATGTTAAAGTCTTACGTAGGAAAGTGTGGAGCATTAATTACATCTAATAGGGAAGATCTTTGCATCCTTTTTTGAATACCAAACGGTCTGGGAGCTGTTGGAAGGTGGGTGCCTATTTTCATTTTTGTACTACCTTTTCTCCTGTTTTTGGCTAGTTAGGGAGTTAGTGTAATTTTCTGTTGTTTATTTGTTTACTTTTGGCAGACTAAGAAGTTTTACTCCCCAACTAGACAGAGGGTAATTGAGGTAAACAAACCCCCTCCTGAGGTTTGTTTACTTTGTTTAATTTTGTCAGTTATACATCTTTACATAATACATTTTTGAACTGCACTTTGATGCGTCTGTCGCACAGGCCTGGGAGCGGGAACAGGCACGTTTATTTTATTTATTTTCACTGTCTACTTCCTATACCTAGACAACTTTACATCCGGGACGTAACAGTGAAAATTGGGGGCTCGTCCGGGACGCGTAGTCATGTAATGATAGCAACAGAACATTTTAAACATAAACAAAAACATTTTAATTCCATTAAAACAGAAAATAGTCTGCTATTCACAATATCAGTGTCTCATATATAAAAAAAAATCAGCTTTGGTGAGTTTAAGAGACCTTTAAAAAAAGAAAAAAGAATACACACACCCCTTGTATAAACACAGCAAAACAGATTATGGTGCATTTATGACAATGTTCATATTATGTTAGGCTACTAATAAAACAACATAAAAACACTTACCTTGAAATTTTCGTGTTACATTCCGTTCCACACATCCTGCGATCCGCAGTGTCCGTTAAAAGTTGAAAACTCACAGGATAAGTAACAGAAGTGAATATTGTGATAATATTTTAAAACCTGACGGAGCACAAACAAAACTTATTTTGAGCACAAACGTCTATTTGGGGTAAATTTGGAGCATGTGGGGGGGGCTGGTGACGTCATTATCTATAATTCAATGTCTGATATTTTATAACCCGACGCAGCACAAACGAAAATTTTACCAGTACAAACGGAGCACAAATGAACAAGACTATTTAGGGTGAATTTGGATCATGTGGGGGGCTGAGTGACCTCAAAATATTCTTTTAATATCTCAAAAACAAGCAGCACAGACACAACCTTTTACAGCACAAACGATTAAGTATATTTTGATGACGTTTTGCGTTAGGGTGGGGGGCCGACTTTCCGCAGATGTCTTCATCATGTTTTGCACAATTGAATTAGCTGTAATTTCGTAAATTGCTTTTGTTCTTGTTTTGCTGTGGTTGAAGTGCCTGACAAGCTGCCCTGCTGTAATGATAACCCGAAGCACAAACACATTAAAACTGTCTTTAACCACCAGCTGAAGTGTATGCACAAAACAGGCTACTGAGTCCCAATTCACCCATCCGGGAGAGTTTACTGCCACAACTGTGTGTTGCCATTAATCTGTTGTTAACTTGTATTTGTTGTTTTTCGCTTTAGACCTGATGTCGCTGAAAGAGGAAAGTCAAGACCTGAATATACTGAAAGATGAACATCATGATTTCAAGACTGAAGAGAAATCAACAGAGATGGAAAAAACTCAGAAGACCGAACCGAACAGTTATTTCCCTTGCCTTGAATGTGGAAAAAGTTTCAATCGAAAACAAAGCCTTGAGTCCCACATGGTATTTCACTCTGGAGAGAAGCTTTTCACATGCCAACAGTGTGGAAAGAGTTATACTCAGAAACAATACCTTAAAGCCCACCTGAGAGTTCACACTGGAGAAAAGCCTTATACTTGCTCTCATTGTGAAAAGAGTTTTGCTTATCAACGCATCCTTAAATCCCACATGAGAGTTCACACTGGAGAAAAGCCTTTCACCTGCCAACACTGTGGAAAAAGTTTCGGTCAAAGCCAAAACCTTAAAGCCCATGTGAGAGTTCACACTGGAGAAAAGCCTTTCACATGCCAACAGTGTGGAAAGAGTTATACTCAGAAAGAATACCTTAAAGCCCACCTGAGAGCTCACACTGGAGCAAAGCCTTATACTTGCTCTCAGTGTGAAAAGAGTTTTGCTTATAAACGCATCCTTATATCCCACATGAAAGTTCACACTGGAGAAAAGCCTTTCACCTGCCAACAGTGTGGAAAAAGTTTCAGTCAACGCCAAAACCTTAAAGCCCACATGAGAGTTCACACTGGAGAAAAGCCTTTTACTTGCTCTCATTGTGAAAAGAGTTTTTCAGAAAAAAAATTACTTAGAGGCCACATGGTAGTTCACACTGGAGAAAAGCCTTTCAACTGCCAACAGTGTGGAAAGGGTTTCACTCAAAAACAAAAACTTAATGTCCACATGAGAGCTCACACTGGAGAGAAGCCTTAGGCCGTGTGTCCACCAAAGCGTTGTTAGCCAGCTGACAACGCTAGACGCTCTGCTGAAAACGCCGTGCTTTGGGCGCTTGAGAGCGTTTTGGCAGCGCAGCGTTTTTTCTGTTGAGATGTTTCGTTGCTATGATACAGAATATATACAGCAGTTTGAATGTTGACAGTTGGTCGGTGTGGTATTAGTCCCGCCCCTCCTCCACTGTTTGGACGGCTGGGTAAAATGTGCCAGTGATGAGCGCTGCGTTTTATCCAAAGTTGAACATTTTTCAACTCCCAGCGACCAGTAAAAACGCTGGGCGCTCGGCGCTTCAGCGTGAAAAAAAAAACCGCTCAGCGCCTCGGTACGCTCATGGCGTTTAAAAAACGCGGCGCTCCCATTGAAATCAATTGAAAACATACGCCAGGCGCGTGGAAAAACGCTTTGGTGGACAAATGTCCTTTCACCTGTGAGCAGTGTGGAAAAAGTTTCAGTCAAAGGCAAGCCAAACCCTTAAAGTCCACATGGTAGTTCACACTGGAGAAAAGCTTTACAACTTTTCCATTTCCAGATCCATTATTGGGACATTGGCCCCTTATTTATGTAGGCTTATATCCTTCAAGGCCAGCACTCGCTCCCTGCGGTCCAATGATTATCTCCACATGATTGTGCCTAGGGCTCGAACAGAGTTAGGGAAGCAGGCATTCAGAATCTCTGCCCCATCAGCGTGGAACCTATTACAGAATAACTTAAAACTTGATAACTTGGTCTCCTTTGGTCACTTTAAGAGGCTAGTAAAGTTTCAGGAAACAGCCACAATGGGCACCTGTCCCTGCTTCCCAAATTAGGATAAGTGTATAATATTTTAATTTGTTGCATAGTATTTTTAACTGTTGTAAGGTCATTGTATTTTACTTTTTAAGCATTGTAATTGTTAATGTACTTACTATGTCCTGTATGTTTATTGTTTTTATTTTTCTTTTGTATTTTATGTGGAACCTTTACTGCGGCCTTCTTGGCCAGGGCTCCTTCGCAAAAGAGACTTGTACTTAAAGGATTTCCCTGGTTAAATAAGGGTTAAATAAATAAAAATAAAAAAACATTTGTAAATCTTAGGTTTCATATTATCATGTTTAGGGGACGTGCACCTAGCGGATAGTGAGGAGATGTTTGCTGTATGTGACAAATGTTTTGGCCTAAAAAACGTGTGACATCGCATTAAGGGTTACTTTACATGTGAAACTCTTTCCACACTGATCACATGTGAACGTTCACTGTAAAAAAACGCGGTCTATGCAGACAGCCCAGGCTCCACAAATAGCAACAAAGAAAATCTGCTGCGACCCGTCCACGAAACATAACAAACTGTTCCAGCCAATAACTGACAAGAAGGCCCTGGGGGTGGGATTTGGGGGGTCAGTGCGCGGATGAGGAGGAGGGAGGGTCTATCTAGCCTTTTGTTTGAAAATACTTTAAACGTCTACAAGAAGTCACATCACCCGACATCGCTTAGAGAACCTTTAATTGCCACATTTTGTGCGAAAAAATAACGAGTTTATTCGACTATTTCTTTTCTTCCTTGTAGGCCAGAAACGAGACTTCCTTAGATTTCCACGACGCATGCGCGAGAATTGCGATCTGCTTACACTACTTCAGATCGCAATTCTCGCGCATGCGTCGTGGAAATCTAAGGAAGTCTCGTTTCTGGTCTAAATCTTGACTGGAAATCCTTGCAAGCGACCTTAAAAGATCGAACTGGGAAGGACGCGAAGACACAGAACGCATCATTGTGACTCGTGAGAATTGAGATGTGCTGCTAAACTGACCATCTCAGCAAATAGCGATTAACAATAGCACAATAAATTCAAACTAAAATCACAAACAAATGTCACAACTACCTATTAAACATACAGCTGCCATAATTGCAACTCTTGCGGCATCAGAACAGGATGTTCAACGCACCACCATTTCGATTTAAAAAAGTTTTGCAACTTTTTTGTTAGGGCTGAACCTAGCCTCTGTCTAAATAAAAGACAAAATGAAGTATAATAAACTTTATCATAAACTAACAGTTTATTATTATAAAATAAACAAGGTTTATCAATCAAATTAAGCCTTTATTAAGGCAAAAGACCACGTGTATGAATTGTACTTAGTGTTTTTAAAGATTTTTTTAAAACTTTTGACATCAATACATTTTCATTGACACTTTATTTATTGCTGACTTTATGAAGTCATTGTAATGCTTAACAGAATGGACATTTGCTGTCACACTCAAAGACAATATGTTGTAAAAGAATATGTTTATTATATAACACTAGAAAAGACAAACACGGGGAACCGCAACGATCAGCGGGGTACAGTATTTTTGTCAATACTTTTTTTAGTATTAGTATTACCCTTAACATTTTTATTGCATTTTTATTTAATTTACTGATTCTTGTGGAAGATGGATTTCAATGCTGACACATGAACTGTGCTTTAAGAACGAATGAATCCTTTTTAACAAGTTATTAGTAATTCTTAATCTTGTTCATCACATAACTGTACAACATGTACTCAAATATATATTTCACCATGAATTCCCAGACATTTATTAAATTAAATATATCTATGGACCTTGGATATTGGACAGCAGATTGAACGGGACTTTTATTTTGTCATGGCCATATGACATCATAAACCTGCGCCGTGCTCCTGAAGCTGTTGTGATTAGACTGAAGAAAGATTGGTGGTTTTATGCATTTTGACGTGTTTAAATCATCGATACCATCGATTTGATCGTTTTTACAAGAGGTATGTGACCATGTATTAGTGAATATGTCTTTGTAATATGTTTAATGTAACAATATTGCGTTTGTTGTGTGAGTAGCTTATTCAAATGTGAGTAATACAAAAGTTGCGTCTCATTTCGCGCCTAATCTTGTAACTTTATTAGTTTTATCGAAAACACGAATTCGTTTTTTTTTTTTGGAAGCTTGTTTCCACCACAGAATGAAAAATAAAAAAAGGTTGCGACTTTTTAATCTCACAATTCGGCCTTTTTTTTCTCACAATTGCGAGTTTACATCTAATTCTGACTTTATTTCTCAGAATTGAGAGCTATGAAGTCAGAATTGTGTGATATAAAGTAAGAATTAAAAAATGTAAAAAAAAAAAAAACAGCGAAAGCACAAATATAATTAATAATGACAACTTTTATGAAGAAATAGCAAATATTTTCATAACGATGTGATCATGTAACATCTACAAATTAATCTACATGGCGTGTTTGTTATTATTTGTATTTTAGCCTATTTTGAGTGATTTTTTTGTCTGGTCAGTTGATTTAAGTCCATTATCTCTCTCTGACTGACTCCCTCACCAGTGCGCTGAACTACAGCTGATTGAGACACACAGAGATTTACTGTGGATTTACTTCTCTTTCTGTTAATTATTCTAATTTTAAACGTGACAAATTGTCCAAACACACAGGAAAACTCCTGGAGAAACATCTGGGATCCACGTGACACTATTATAAAGATGGCGTTGATTAAACAGGAGAGCGAAGACATAAAGATTGAAGAAGTGTTCAGCGTGAAACAAGAAGAAACTGAGGAACAAACAGGTTAGTTTCATTCTGTCCTTATTAAAATGATCTACAGAAATTACTGATATTTTTGAAGGATATTAAATGAGTGTCCAAATTAAAGCGGTTTTATTTGACAGAGCGAGTCTTCTCATGTGGACAGACATGTTTGTTGAGATCACGATCAGACAATTAGAAATAAAGTGTTTGTCGTTAGGTTTAGAGGACCTGTACACTTGCATTGTATTGACTATATGGATTAGAAATCTGTGTTATTCCGAAGAAAGGAAATGCATCTTAGATGGTTTAAGTGAGTAAACATTTGGCTGATATTTAAAATCTGATAAATAATGAATTATTTCTTTCAGCTGAGACACTTCAGATTAGGGCTGAAGTATATCATTACTTGCAATGTTTAACCATCAGAGAGTGAAAGTTTATCATTTCCACATTTTTAAAAGATAAATTGTTTTATTTACGCTAATTAATTATATTGGTTATATGTAATTTATACAATGAAGACTGCTATTTTACATTTGATTGTTCAGTTTCTGTACCTGAATACTGTTAGATTTACCTGAAAAACATAACATACAAATGAAACATTTTAATTGTATCTTTCTTGAATTGTATTTATCTATACTTTTAATTTGTTTATTATTTCCTATGCAGATTCACTCCCCTACAAAATCACACCAATTATTTAAAAATAATTCATTCTTTTCAAATGGAACTATTCAAATCATCTGGTGAAATCACAATATATCTCAGTGCAAAGTATTCACTGAAGCACCAACAGACTTTTTTGATAATGTTGACTATGTGGTTAGTAGTTGTATTTACCTTATTTTAACGAGGCACTGCAATCAGCAGATATCATTGGAGAAGAACGGAGCAGACAGAGGCCACTTAATAAAAGTGCGGGGCTTGTGCTTGCGTTTGATTCAGCTAGAATGAGGGCGTGGCTTTACTTCCTGCCCACGACTGCGCATGTCTGGTCCTGAAAACGCAAGTGCGCAGATTCAAGTTCCAAGATGTCAGCGCCATATCGGGTCACTGGCGGCTTCAGTTCTCTCTAGCCCCTTTCACACAGAGATTCCAGAAAATACACGGATAATGTGACCCAGCATTTGTCCCAGAATTGTTTAATTTCGGTTCAGTCACACTGCCAGTGATTTGCCGGGATATGTGAGTGCGTTCACACACAACCCGTAAAATTCTCGGGAAGACACATGACGTCAGGATGAGACGTATAACGGACGCGTCGAAAACATGTAAACGCGCATACCGTACACGCGCTGGTGAACGATCTCAGCTTCAGTACGGATAGTGAGGAGCTCCTGGTCTCTGCTTAGCTCCAGTTTGCAGGTATTTGTTCGTCCTTTCTTTGTTGATGGGGAACACAAACTTTCTTCTAGAGCAACAGAGCGTCATCACTATGACACACCCTTTA